TCACTAGATGATGGCATAGCTGATGCAACAACAGATGATGAGAATCTAGAGTAAGGAGCTTCGCTGGATGATGGTAAAGCTGATGAAACAACAGATGATGAAACAACAGATGATGAAACAACAGATGATGAGAATTGGGAGTAGAGATCTTCGTTGGATGATGGTAAACCTGATGAGACAACAGAAGATGACGAGAGGTGAAGATCAGAACTAGTAGAAGATGCAGTAGAAGAAGATGGGCTGACAGTGGAATCACTACTAGCTGTGAAAGTTGAAGAGGCAGCAATATTGGATGAATCATGACTCTGCACTTTGGTAGATCGAGGGAAAGGTGAGTGAATGCTTGTAGTTCTTGAATTAGACAATTCCGTAGAAATAGTAGAATATGTAGTAACGATATTACTAGATGCTCTAGGATTCGATGCTGAGATTGTAGATGAAGGGGTTGAGTCAGTAGAGGTAGCCATTATAGTGGATGATCTTCTGACGGGTGAAATAGACGATCTTTTATTGATAGAGCTACTTTTGGAAGATGGGCTTGAACTGAAGGAGCTTGAACTTTGTTTGGATGTAGTAGATGGACCTGGAACGAGAACTTCTATAGTTTCGGTACCACCATTACTCTTAAAAGGAAGGGTAGTTGTTTGGGTATCTATCCCGCTCCAAGTAGTGGTAGCCAGAGTAATTTCTCTAGCTACTACATTTGGTCTAACAAACTTATCAGTATTCCAAACGTATTCAGCCTTGTTGGTGTATGTGTAGAAATCAAATAAACAATTGTAAGTGTTAGTGTATTCGACAGTAGCAGTAGGACGATAAGGAGTTACAATTATATCCAAAAATGGACGAACATAATTGGTAGCACCAGAATATGCAATCAGGACTTGAAGCTTTTTACAAGAGAGTACCGAGTAACTGAGAGTTTCAGCGGTAGCCGGGAGGTACCATTGATTTATATAACTAACGGCAGCAACATTGATGGAGTCACAATCGATATTCCCAGTATTCAAAGTCATGGTTAAAACTCCGGAATAAGCTTGATTAAAATAACAGCCACCACTGGCAAGAAAAGAATATTCATGTTTTTTGCTAGGAAGAACCCTTCGGTCAACAGCTATAGTACCTGGCAGCACTCCTTGGCTAGATAAATCAGCGTTAACACCATTATTGAAGTTTACTGTTGAAGAGAAAACATTTTCTCCATCGCTCCAACTAATTGTGTTTGGCCCAGCAGAAAATTTTACCGAACAAGTGAGATCAGATTGTGAAGTACCCAACCCAGAATTAAAGATGAATGGAATGGTAACAGTCCCAACCACATTAGTAGAATCGGTGACTATACTTGAGACAGTACATAGCAAATAAGAATCAGGATTTGTATCATCACTGTGTGAAAAGTCACAAGTAGCAAATGTTTTACCGTTCGCAGATAAGTCAACGGAAGGAGTCGAGGAGGTGAATCTACTGACGCAGGGTAATCTCATTTGGAAAGTATCACCAGCTTTAACTCCGGAGATGGCCCAATCAAGAGTGGCTATCCAATTGGGTGTTTCAGGAAGTTGAGGACTAGTGGTTCCTGCTTGACTCCAAGTAATTGAGGATATATCCTTGAAAATCCCGTAAACGGCGGAACCCTCAACATAAGCACAAGTAAATAGTGCTAGTAAAAAGTATGAGAGAACAATCATTTCTCAGTGGAAGATGATCAAGACGTTAAAGTAAAGTGAAATAAATTATACAATGGTAAATCAAAAGCCACCATCCATAGGCTACAATTACAAATATATATATGTATATCTAAATCATCCGACAACACAAACTGGGGCTTTCTTTTCTTTAGATAAAACCCATTCGCTAAACTCAAAGTTAACAGTTTATAATTACTTTACGAAGATTCAAAGTATCATGCACATCCTAGAAACCGGGTGGACAAACTGCGCAAGAAGGAGGAATTTCATAGTTTTTGCAACAAAATGAAAGCGAAGTAGTGCAAAAAAAAATCAATTGCTGAAAAAAAAAATAATTAAGAAAAGAAAAAAAAAAAAGTATTTTTGAATGCACGGCAGGCTCATTTTCTTTTTTTGACTCCTGAAAATTCAACAAGACAATAAGAGCAAGGGAGTCTTCTCAGGGAGTCTTCTCAGGGATCCTCCACGGGGAACAAACCATGGCTGGACGTTCAGGGGTAAAGATCAAGTGAGTGTTAGCAAGAAGCAGTGTCAAAAAATGTTTGATCTCTTTGTCTGTTGTTCTTTGATCCCTTGATCTCTTTTGACCCCAGTGGATTATGAAGACAGGCCGTTTTCGTTCACTTACTGTTCTCGAAACAGATATAAAGGTAGATCCGCAGGCTCTTCTGTTCTAACCCCCATTCCGGAAGGGCATAATTAGGGATCGCCTTGCGGACATTAGAGCTGGCGCCTGAGCACTTTTCATTTGTTAGGGAAATCCTCAAATCGAATGATTGCCGTCACAAAACCTTTTAAAAACAAGCTTTTGAACCTTTAGTCTGCGGAACAACTTATGCGAAAGATACAAGCTTGTTGCCGTGGTGAGCCGGCTCTTGAGTTCAAAAATGTCAGGTGTTCAAGACATGTCTACTCATTCTGGAAATACACAAATACTTTTAATTTTTTTTCAATTGGGTTGACTTATTGGTTCGAAATTATTAGTTTTAAACTTATTGGTTACCAGCTCAAGCGCTGCAAGCTTATTGATTCCAATTGGTGAGCTGTAAACCTCTTGCTAGACACCCTCTTTTTGTCAAAGGGAGGGGATACACTATATCACAGTTATGATTGTTATAAGCGAAGGAACAATGTTCATGCACAGTTTAGCGCAACGCATGTTTATCGTGTGGGGCATGCGAGTGATCGGTCAGTTCGATCTTCCATACATACACGAAGATGAAACCTTATATAAGCTATACAAATTAGGCCTCCTTTCATTCTTCCAGAAGAAGTAACAAAGATTAGTGAGGAATACGGTAGTAAAGAAGAATAGGTTGGACAAACGCCGGTTGTGGTTGTTTACATTAACTGACTTGTCGCCTTTGAATTGGTATTTACAATTTAAAAAAAGTTGAAGGAAATATAAAATGAAGAGGTAAAAGTATCCACTGACTATGTTAAGAAACTATAGCTAACTAGAGAGTTTCTTTGGTATCCATATAAGGTTTTCAAATGATGTCACCGGCTTCCGGGGACGTAGAGATCTATGTCCTTGGGCGTAGATCTTGAGATTTGACATGACTAATTTTGTCAATCATCTACGGGTGTCCTCGGCAAGACTAAAAATAATGAGAGGATAGACATACTAAATTAATAAATAACCTAAAGCCACTAAACTAAAGAAAAGGTAGCAAAAGTAAATGAAGCAAAAAGAAATTCAACCCCAACTGATCCGTTCAGATATAAGGGCTGAAGGAACATGCTGTCTAACTCTCGGATAAATCACGGACGTAAGATCTAACTTTCGGATGAATAGCGCATGTACAATCTTAGTAGCTTTTTCTTGGTTATAATCCACTTTGTGAATTCGGTAGGTCACTCACATGGGATATTCGGGGGTTTGAGAAGAGCTGGACTTTAGTGGAATAATGGGACATATGGAAGAGCTCGGGGAAAGGGGGGAGGATGACTACGACGGAGGTTTCGTACTTTCCGGAGATGTCCACCGGGGATGTCCACCGAGCGCCTCACTGTCGCTCGACTTAAAAAATACTTAAAAAAAAAAACAGTTAAACGCATGGAAGCCTTCCACTGGCGATCGTTTGTGCATCGTCTCTAGCTCGGTTATTCGGAATGGTGTGATTTTGTCTTTGATTTATTATACATTGTACTTCGACTCCTTAACTTGTAGCCAAAGCGAACATAAACACGTAGCTTGACTTGATTACAGTGTTGAGAATCTAGTGAGGACTCGAACCCCCCGGTGAGGGTGCGAAAAGTGCCCTTTCTCAGTTTTTTCGCTGCCTATTGTTTCTTCGGCATTCTAAATCCTATTCTCCTCCGTAATAACTGTTGTATAAGCTGCAGTTATCATGAATAGAGCAGTCTGTCCTTGGAAAAGTATAATTATAGTTTTATAGTTTGATGACCTCGACAAATATTTTTTATTTGTATTCGAAAAAGCAATTTATTCGGAAAAACCGTAAATTGTGCTTTAAAAAACGGCCAAAAAAAGTTTTGTGTCACATATCGTTAAGCGAATTTATCTTTCTTATTTGAAGTTTATAATGTAAAACAAAACCTTCATGTCCAGTCGTGCTCAACATAAGGTATTGCGAGAGGGTTGCATAGTTTGAAGTACGAAGACGATTAAAATCAGAAGTTGATTTTAACTTTTACTGTATACAATAATTTGCAAATCAATTGACTGAAAATCAGTTAACCATCATTCGATTTCTCAAAGAGATTATTAGTAATCAACGAAATATTCTTACTTCAAATTTTATGTTCTCGTATCTTCGTTCTGTCTAATAGTCACTCGGAAAACATTTATGTCTTGTAGACTCCCGTAATTGAACAATATAATTCTCTGGTTTGAGCCACTTTTATAGTAACGTGGTTTTACGTAAATCATACAAAATCAATGAGCCATACAACTGTATCGATATATTTTATATTAAACATTTATTCCAATCATATAAATCTATAAACATTAAAACACTAGATTTTTTTTATAAAGCAATACAGAAAACGAAAAGAAAAAGAAAAAGACGGTGAAAAAAAAATTCAAAACCAAATATAATCATATAATACAATCAACCGAAAACTTTCGATATTTCGAAAAGGTAGAAGAGAATTAAAAAAGAAAACAGCAAAATTTTAAAATCGAAATATTAGTAAAAAGAACATTGAAACTTCAAAAGGGTATCATATCACACTAAGATTAAAAGAACAAGCTGAAAAATAATGCAAGAACACCGAGAATTGTAGGTATTTGGCTGTTTGCAACACCATCATAACTGGTCACAGTATGAGAAGCCAGATTTGGGGACTTCGAAGTTGAAATCGCTAATGTAGTACTGTCAACTTTAGTATAAGCAGCCGCAACTGACTGGGTGACACCAGTGCCTCGCAAACTAGCATCGTTGCTGTCTGTGCTAGCACCGGTTTCCCAAATAGAATCTTCTGAGCCCGTACTTGTTCTGTCAGGCGAAGTATTATCTCCAGTATTCGATCCATCATTTGAGTTGGCTCCTGATTTAGAGTCTGAAGAAAGCCTCTCGGCTGATCCATTGCCTGAACCATTGTCTGAACCATTACCAGAGTTAGAACCATTACCTGATTCATTGTCTGAACCATTACCTGAACCATTGCCAGAGTTAGATGCATTACCAGAGCCATTGCCAGAGTTAGATGCATTGCCTGATCCATTACCAGATCCATTGCCAGAGTTAGATGCATTGCCTGATCCATTACCAGATCCATTGCCAGAGTTAGATCCATTGTCTGAACCATTACCTGAACCATTACCTGATCCATTGCCAGAGTTAGATCCATTGTCTGAACCATTACCTGATCCATTGCCTGAGTTAGATCCATTACCTGATCCATTGTCTGAACCATTACCTGATCCATTGCCTGAGTTAGATGCATTGCCTGATCCATTACCAGATCCATTGCCAGAGTTAGATCCATTACCAGATCCATTACCAGATCCATTGCCAGAGTTAGATCCATTACCTGAACCATTGTCTGAACCATTACCTGAACCATTG